TGTGCTTTGGGTCATTGTCCTGCTGGAAGACCCATGACCTCTGAAATTGGAGACCCAGCTTTCTTGATACCGGGCCCTACATTGCATCCCAGAATTCTTTGGTAGTCTTCGGATTTCATAATGCCATGCACACGGTCAAGACATCCAGTGCCTGAAGCAGCAAAGCAACCCCAAACCATCAGTGACCCTCCATCATTTGTGACTGGGAGGACTGGATTCTTTTCTGTAAAGGCCTCATTGCTTTTTCTTAAAACAGTAGAATGATGGGCTTTACCAAAAAGCTGTCATTTTCTTTCGTCTGTCCACAGCACATTCTCCCAAAAGGATTTTGGCTTCCTCAGGTAAGTTTTGGCAAACTCTATTCTGTATTTTTTATGTTTCTGTGTCAGCGGTGGGGTCCTCCTGGGTCTCCTCCCATATTTCTATGTCAGCAGTGGGGTCCTCCTGGGTCTCCTACCATATTTCTGTGTCAGCGGTGGGGTCCTCCTGGGTCTCCTACCATATTTCTGTGTCAGCAGTGGGGTCCTCCTGGGTCTCCTACCATATTTCTGTGTCAGCAGTGAGGTCCTCCTGGGTCTCCTACCATATTTCTGTGTCAGCAGTGGGGTCCTCCTGGGTCTCCTCCCATATTTCTGTGTCAGCAGTGGGGTCCTCCTGGGTCTCCCACCATATTTCTATGTCAGCAGTGGGGTCCTTCTGGGTCTCCTACCCATATTTCTGTGTCAGCAGTGGGGTCCTCCTGGGTCTCCTCCCATATTTCTGTGTCAGCAGTGGGGTCCTCCTGGGTCTCCCACCATATTTCTGTGTCAGCGGTGGGGTCCTCCTGGGTCTCCTCCCATATTTCTGTGTCAGCAGTGGGGTCCTCCTGGGTCTCCTACCATATTTCTGTGTCAGCAGTGGGGTCCTCCTGGGTCTCCTGCCATAGCGTCCCTTTTCGTTCAGATGGCGACGTACAGTGCGAGCTGACCCTGTGCCTGAAGGTCAGCTTAAATTTGTCTGAAGTTGATCGAGGTTCTTTCTCCACCATTCAAACAATCATTTAGTTGCAGTCTTTGATCAATTTTTCTCTTTCGTCCACGTCCAGGGAGATTAGCTACAGTGCCATGGGCTGTAAACATCTTGACAGTTGTGCACAGTGGACACAGGAACATGAAGATCTCTGGAGATGGACTTGCAACCTTGAGATTGTCCATGCTTTTCCACAAATTTTGTTCTCAAATCCTCAGACAATTCTTTTCTGCTCTTTCTCTCCTCCATGCTCCATGTGGCACACAGAGACACACAAACAGAAAGGTTGGGTCTATTTTTCACCATTTTAATTGGTTTCCGGTGTGATTTCTATATTGTCAGCGTCTGGTCATGGATACAGGTGAGTTTAATTACAAATTACAGGAGCATCTCAAACTTGGAATGCATCTATTTCTTACAACCTGGAGAAGGTGCCAATAAATTTTGTCCAGTCCATTTTTGGGGTTTTGCGTGGAATGTGTCAGATTTGGCTTTTTGTTTCTCCACTTTTTTGTGTCGAAGTGGTGCATTATCTGACAGAAATGCGGGGGTGTCAATATTTATGGCCATGACTGTATATTGAGTAGTCAGGCTGATTAGCCAATCGGAAGTGACCACTCTGCTCAGGGACAAGATGAGTGCTTGCTAAAAGAGTGGTGGAAGGTTTCCATTACATGTTCAACCATCCCACGATTAAATAGATCAGTGCTTCTTCCAGTCTACTCATTCACATTGGATATGGAATTTGTCCTAAGCTAGAATGGAGGCACTTATAATTCTACATTTCTTTTCATCAACAGAGAGGTCCTTCGACCTCATCAATGGTCTACTAAGCAAACCACCACCTGGACCTTACAATAATGTGGTTTGGGCCTTCAAAGATTCACGTTTTCCTTCCAGTCTACTCATTCACTTTGGATATGGAATTTGCCCTAACTAGAATTGAGGCACTCATAATTCTACATTTCTTTTCATCAACACATGAGAGGTCCTTAGACCTATCAATGGTCTACTGAGCAAACCACCACCTGGACCTTACAATAATAAAGTTTGAGCCTTCAAAGATTCATGTTTTCCTTCCAGTCTACTCATTCACTTTGGATATGGAATTTGTCCTTCTATCTAGAATGGAGGCACTCATAATTCTACATTTGTTTTCATCAACACATGAGAGGTCCTTAGATCTCATCAATGGTCTACTGAGCAAACCACCACCTGGACCTTACAATAATGAAGTTTGAGCCTTCAAAGATTCACGTTTTCCTTCCAGTCTACTCATTCACTTTGGATATGGAATTTGTCCTAACTAGAATGGAGGCACTCATAATTCTACATTTCTTTTCATCAGCAAATGAGAGGTCCTTAAACCTTCTCAATGGTCTACTGAGCAAACCACCACCTGGAGCTTACAATAATGAAGTTTGAGCCTTCAAAGATTCATGTTTTCCTTCCAGTCTACTCATTCACTTTGGATATGGAATTTGTCCTTCTAACTAGAATGGAGGCACTCATAATTCTACATTTTTTTTTCATCAACACATGAGAAGTCCTTAGACCTTCTCAATGGTCTACTGAGCAAACCACCACCTGGAGCTTACAATAATGAAATTTGAGCCTTCAAAGATTCACGTTTTCCTTCCAGTCTACTCATTCACTTTGGATATGGAATTTGTCCTAACTAGAATGGAGGCACTCATAATTCTACATTTGTTTTCATCAACATGAGAGGTCCTTAGACCTCATCAATGGTCTACTGAGCAAACCACCACCTGGACCTTACAATAATGAAGTTTGAGCCTTCAAAGATTCATGTTTTCCTTCCAGTCTACTCATTCACTTTGGATATGGAATTTGTCCTTCTAACTAGAATGGAGGCACTCATAATTCTACATTTGTTTTCATCAACACATGAGAGGTCCTTAGACCTCATCAATGGTCTACTGAGCAAACCACCACCTGGAGCTTACAATAATGAAGTTTGAGCCTTCAAAGATTCATGTTTTCCTTCCAGTCTACTCATTCACTTTGGATATGGAATTTGTCCTTCTAACTAGAATGGAGGCACTCATAATTCTACATTTTTTTTCATCAACACATGAGAGGTCCTTAGACCTTCTCAATGGTCTACTGAGCAAACCACCACCTGGAGCTTACAATAATGAAATTTGAGCCTTCAAAGATTCACGTTTTCCTTCCAGTCTACTCATTCACTTTGGATATGGAATTTGTCCTAACTAGAATGGAGGCACTCATAATTCTACATTTGTTTTCATCAACACATGAGAGGTCCTTAGACCTCATCAATGGTCTACTGAGCAAACCACCACCTGGACCTTACAATAATGAAGTTTGAGCCACCAAAGATCCACATTTTCCTTCCACTGCACTCAGCACATGTGGATGGGACCAGAGGCATAAGCTCTGAGTAAGCTCCAAGTCTCACTTTCAAGCGTACATGGGTCATGCTCTCGTCACGGTGGGTAAACGGAGCGGCAGGAGAGTGAAGGGAATGTATAAGCATCTGTGGGGGGCAAAGCGCAGGTTTATATTAAAGTCTCAGTTTGGGATACTTTTCCCTGTAGAGCATGTAGCACATGTGACAGCAACCGTTCTGCTTACAGAGGTTGAGCCGTAATGTGGAAACATTAGTATTCCTAATGTATTTACAGAATGCGTTTCTGTTTGGGATCACTTGCTCCCTGAGAGCGTGGGAGGTGTGCGCTGCACCCAGACATCCCTGAGACCAGACAGCTGTTTCCTATCCAATGTGTGTCCTTATAACTGCTGCAAGCATCTGCATGCTGTCATGTAACATACCTTTGGTTCAGCTTCTGGAAGCCTCCACGTTGGTTCATGATGGAAGGAGGTTGTGCCATTCATTGTTTTGGAACTAATAAATGAGAACATTTTCTCCACCAATAAGTATTTGGCACCGACCCTCTACAATACTGCAATAGCCACGCCCAACAATCATACATAATACATATATAGGAGTTTTTTTCCCATCTGTGTAAAGAGTTGTATTTTTTGCCCATCCAGTTGTGAGATTGACACAGCTCTGTCACACAGCATAGCCCTGTCTGGAAGGAGGCCTAATTTTCTCTGCTACAGGTTGTTTTGCGTTTAGACAGTGGAAGGGGAAGCAGCAGGCTGATAAGCTCTTCACTCTGCTCTCTCCATCTATCAGCATGCTATCTGTTAGCACATTGATTAGCTGCTTGTGCTGCTTCTCCTGCTCCCAAACGAGGACTACAAGGACTGCAAGAGACTGATCCTAAGTTATATTCAGGTACTTATACTACCTGCATTAAAAGGAAAATACATCTACTGACATAATGTAAAGAGCTACATTCATCTGTGTCTTTTATATCTGCTCCTGGAGTATATTTTTAAAGGTTCGCAACCTTCAGAACTGTCATCTTTAGCCTTCCTTCAGTACTTAGTGCAGGGGTTCCTCCAGAGGTTGCTAGAGGTTCCTTGAGGAATGAGTGATTTCTGCCTGATAAGTTCCCCATTGAACATCATTTAGCTCTCTCTAAGGGGTAAATTCTTCCCAATGACCACAAGTGTAAGGAGTATTCTTCCCACTGATCACCAATGTAAGGGAGCATTCTTCCCACTGACACCACAATGTAAGGGACATTCTTCCCACTGACCCCCAATATAAGGGACATTCTTCCCACTGATCACCAATGTAAGGGACATTCTTCCCACTGACCCCAATGTAAGGGACATTCTCCACTGACCACCAATGTAAGGAGCATTCTTCCCACTGACCACCAATGTAAGGGAGCATTCTTCCCACTGACCCCAATGTAAGGGACATTCTTCCACTGACCCCCATGTAAGGGACATTCTTCCCACTGACCCCCAATGTAAGGGGCATTCTTCCCACTGACCCCCAATGTAAGGGGCATTCTTCCCACTGACCCCAATGTAAGGGACATTCTTCCCTGTAACTGACCCCCAATGTAAGGGACATTCTGACCCCCAATGTAAGGGACATTCTTCCCACTGACCCACCAATTGTAAGGGACATTCTTCCCACTGACCACCAATGTAAGGGACATTCTTCCCACTGACCCCCAATGTAAGGGACATTCTTCCCACTGACCACCAATGTAAGGGACATTCTTCCCACTGACCCCCAATGTAAGGGACATTCTTCCCACTGACCACCAATGTAAGGGAGCATTCTTCCCACTGACCACCAATGTAAGGGACATTCTTCCCACTGACCACCAATGTAAGGGACATTCTTCCCATCTGATCCCCAATGTAAGGGGACATTCTTCCCACTGACCACCATGTAAGGGACCATTCTTCCACTGACCCCAATGTAAGGGGACATTCTTCCCACATGACCCCAATGTAAGGGGACATTCTTCCCACTGACCCCAATGTAAGGGGACATTCTTCCCACTGACCCCAATGTAAGGGACATTCTTCCCACTGACCCCAATTAGTAAGGGACATTCTTCCCACTGACCCCCAATGTAAGGGACATTCTTCCCACTGGACCCCAATGTAAGGGACATTCTTCCCACTGACCACCAATGTAAGGGCATTCTTCCCACTGACCACCATGTAAGGGACTTCTTCCCACTAACCACCAATGTAAGGGCATTCTTCCAACCACCAATGTAAGGGGGAGCATTCTTTCCCACTGACCACCAATGTAAGGGACATTCTTCCCACTGACCCCCAATGTAAGGGACATTCTTCCCACTGACCCCAATGTAAGGGACATTCTTCCACTGACCCCCAATGTAAGGGACATTCTTCCCACTGACCACCAATGTAAGGGGCATTCTTCCCACTGACCCCAATGTAAGGGACATTCTTCCCACTGACCCCCAATGTAAGGGACATTCTTCCCACTGACCACCAATGTAAGGGACATTCTTCCCACTGACCACCAATGTAAGGGACATTCCACATTCCCACTGACCACCAATGTAAGGGACATTCTTCCCACTGACACCCAATGTAAGGGAGCATTTCTTCCCACTGACCACCAATGTAAGGGACATTCTTCCCACTGACCACCAATGTAAGGGACATTCTTCCCACTGACCCCCAATGTAAGGGACATTCTTCCCACTGACCCCCAATGTAAGGGGACATTCTTCCCACTGACCACCAATGTAAGGGACATTCTTCCCACTGACCCAATGTAAGGGACATTCTTCCCACTGACCCCAATGTAAGGGACATTCTTCCCCCACTGACCACCAATGTAAGGGACATTCTTCCCACTGACCCCAATGTAAGGGACATTCTTCCCACTGACCACCAATGTAAGGACATTCTTCCCACTGACCCCCAATGTAAGGGATATTCTTCCCATGACACCAATGTAAGGGACATTTTCCACACTGACCCCAATGTAAGGGACATATTCTTCCCACTGACCACCAATGTAAGGGACATTCTTCCCACTGACCACCAAATGTACCCACTGATAGGGACATTCTCCCTCTGACCACCAATGTAAGGGACATTCCTCCCACTGACCCCCAATGTAAGGGACATTCTTCCCACTGACCACCAATGTAAGGGACATTCTTCCCACTGACCCCCAATGTAAGGGACATTCTTCCCACTGACACCACATGTAAGGGACATTCTTCCCACTGACCCCAATGTAAGGGACATTCTTCCACTGACCACCAATGTAAGGGACATTCTTCCCACTGACCACCAATGTAAGAGACATTCTTCCCACTGACCCCAATGTAAGGGAACATTCTTCCCACTGACCACCAATGTAAGGGACATTCTTCCCACTGACTGACCACCAATGTAAGGGACATTCTTCCACTGACCACCAATGTAAGGGACATTCTTCCCACTGACCACCAATGTAAGGACATTCTTCCCACTGACCCCCAATGTAAGGGACATTCTTCCCACTGACCACCAATGTAAGGGACATAAGACTTCCCACTGATCACCAAATGTAAAGGGACATTCTTCCCACTGACCCCCAATGTAAGGGACATTCTTCTCCCACTGACCTCCAATGTAAGGGACAATTCTTCCCCCTGACCTCCAATGTAAGGGACATTCTTCCCACTGACCTCCAATGTAAGGGACATTCTTCCACTGACCACCATTGACATTCTTCCCAATTAAGGGACTTTCTTACCAATTGAAGGGAATTCTGCTCCAATCCACCAATGTAAGGGACATTCTTCCCACTGACCCCCAATGTAAGGGACATTCTTCCCCACTGACCTCCAATGTAAGGGACATTCTTCCCACTGACCACCAATGTAAGGGACATTCTTCCCATGACCACCAATGTAAGTGACATTCTTCCCATTGGGGGACCATCACACAATTAATGTATCATGAGATGTAGATAGAGTCACATTTAGCAGGGGTTTCTCAAAAACTGGAAAGTTATTTCAAGGATTCCTCTGTGTTGAAAAGGTTGAGAGAGGCTGACAGTGAATGGCTACGAGCATCTCAGGTGTCTTGACACTAGCGGCACACTTGATCTCACTGTAACTTACTAGGTTGTGAAGGATATGACAGCACTGGGATGTGGACCTCTAAAATAACTCATAAAGGCACCTCCCATAATTCACTTGGAAACCCGTACTTTAGCTGTTATCCAGCCATCAAGTTGGCAAAATGGTCTCCATCCTTGGTGTGGGGTCACACAAGGGCCCTTAATGCCTTTGCTAATGTGGAAAACATCAGAACTTCTGTCAATTTTTTGACTGCCGTGTGTGACCCGCCGTCCTAGTGGTTGTCATCGCCCCAATTAGAAAGTACGCTTGGATCCAAAGTATTAGGCAAGGCACTAGACTTTTCTGTGAAAGAAAGTGAGGGGATATCTCACCAACGAGAGAGAGCAAAATAAAATCTAGAGGTACAGCAAAAACCGGGATCACCGGACGAAACATCGAGAGACCACCAAAGAGTTTACTTCACCTAAAAATGTCAAAAGCAAATATCATCCCATACTGGGGACAAGCCAACTGCTTCACATTCACCTGCTCGGGCTTTATCCTAACACTGAGATCTTAATGTTTATAGTTCTTAAGCCATGGAATCCTCAGACCATTAAGGTTCTTGGCAGCAATGTAGGCCCTGATTAGGGGCCCCATAAAACATTCCTGAAATGCGTTGGTGTTGATGTTTTAATTGAAGAAACTCTTTGTGGATATGCTTCTGTCTATTTGCAGATTTCACTCATATCTTTTGGGGCGTGCCCCAATATAGGGTTATACTGGTCCCAGATTCTCCAGTTTGTGTCTGAGTTCATGAAGATATATCATTCTGCCTGTTGGGAGTCGTGAAATCACTGGCCCTGAGAACGGCAACTAGGACGTTACTCTGTATATTTACTTATTCTATGCCAGAAAAATGATTGAGTAAGACACCATGTACACGGGACACTTCTGAACGACGGAAACTGACTGCTGGAAAACGTAGGTTAAAAACCGTCTGTATAGCATAACGCGTTTATGTGCGTTTGCATTTAGAAGCGTTTTTTAAAGATAAGCATAGGAGAACCTCCCAAATGCCCAGAATGCACTGAAAAGTGGTAAATTATTAACTATTTTCAGACTGTTTCAGAGAAATACAGAGAGTAGAAAGCAGAGACAGCAGTATGTGTTGAGATAATTAGGTGTGAGTTGCTCATTAACATTTCTTTTGTTTCCAAGGGTGGGAGAGGTGTCTGGTGGAGGGAGTCATTAGGGTAACCTGGGCAGGGGGTCTTCATGAGGAATTTGAGGTGTGAATGGTCATTAACATATCTTTTGTTTCCAAGGGTGGGAGAGGTCTGAGGTGTGAATGGTCATTAACATATCTTTTGTTTCCAAGGTGGGAGAGGTCTGAGGTGTGAATGGTCATTAACATATCTTTTGTTTCCAAGGGTGGGAAAGGTGTCTGGTGGAGGGAGTCATTAAGGTCACCTGGCAGGGGGTCTTCATGAGGAATTTGAGTTGTGAATTGGTCATTAACATAGCTTTTGTTTCCAAGGTGGGAGAGGTCTGAGGTGTGAATGGTCATTAACATATCTTTTGTTTCCAAGGGTGGGAAAGGTGTCTGGTGGAGGGAGTCATTAAGGTCACCTGGCAGGGGGTCTTCATGAGGAATTTGAGTTGTGAATTGGTCATTAACATAGCTTTTGTTTCCAAGGGTGGGAGAGGTCTGAGGTGTGAATGGTCATTAACATATCTTTTGTTTCCAAGGGTGGGAGAGGTCTGAGGTGTGAATTGGTCATTAACATATCTTTTAATTTCAAGGGTGGGAGAGGTCTGAGGTGTGAATGGTCATTAACATATCTTTTGATTCCAAGGGTGGGAGAGGTCTGAGGTGTGAATGGTCATTAACATATCTTTTGTTTCCAAGGGTGGGAGAGGTCTGAGTTGTGAATGGTCATTAACATATCTTTTGTTTCCAAGGGTGGGAGAGGTCTGAGTTGTGAATGGTCATTAACATATCTTTTGTTTCCAAGGATGGAAAAGGTGTCTGAGGTGGAGGGAGTCATTAAGGTCACCTGGCAGGGGGTCTTCATGAGGAATTTGAGGTGTGAATGGTCATTAACATATCTTTTGTTTCCAAGGGTGGGAGAGGTCTGAGGTGTAAATTGGTCATTACAATGTGTGACCAGCTTGGTAGGAACATCCTGTGTTCAGTGTTTTGTCCATCTAAGTACCTTGAAAATGTTTTGCATGCATTTTTCATGATGAAAAAAGGCTCTGGACAGCATCGGGAACTGGAAGAGTTGAAAAAAAAATTCAGACGCAAACGCTTATAAATTCACATACAAGCCCACCACTGTCACTTGGCACCTCAGAGTGTGGCCTGCTTGCCCCCACCATGTGTACACATATTTATTGAAATATATTGAATATGGCCAAAATTGTAGTATTTCAAATATATGTCAATATATTTGGGAAGAATATTTTTTAAAAATGTATTTCAGATATATTTTTCTTCCATGTGTGTGCGTACGTGCGTTCTCACGTCGGCCGGATTTCAGTATACTTGTGATGAATTAGAACGAATGTTCTGCTCTGCCCGGAGGCACGGAGCTCCCTTGACGGATCAGCCAGGAGGGCACCGTGACGGCATCACACTCAGCTCTTATCTAGGCCATCACGACTCGCCTTCTCTTCACCAAAATCCCACCAATTCCCATGTTCATCCATCTTGGAAAAGGGAGCAAAGGTCATAGACTCCAGCCTCTGTTCAATTTATGAGATGAAGATGTTTAATGAATTGCTCCCATAGATATGTCAGCAGTCTGCAGAGCCGGCCAAGAAACACACACCAAAAAAAAAAATCTTTGGCTGGATTTCTGCAGATGCCTCGGCGTTGATCCATGTCTATGAGCAGCGAGGTGGCTGCAATGTCACAGTCCCTGTCCCTGTCTTCTCCTGTGCTCGGAATACACCTTTTGGCTACATGCGCTTCTAGTCCTACCTTTCCCCATCACGTAGAACAAAAAGAGAGAAAGTGGGACACAAAAAGGCTGTTCAGACTACACTGTGCTAAAAAGCTGAACAACAGGGAGGGCAGCCAGGACTGCAGGAAAGGAGACAGGAGAGGACTGCAGAAGCTAACAGGAGCAGGACGAGGACTGAGATGAGGACTGGGGCAGGAAAAAGGACAGGGAGCAGGGGCAGAGATGAGACTGCAGAGAGAAAAACTGGGAGCAGAGAGAAGGACTGCACAGAGACGGGACTGCAGAGAACTAGAGAACTAGAGAGGACTGCAGGAGAACTGCAGGAGAGAAGGGGCAGGAGAGACGAGGACTGCAGAGAGGACTAAGGGGCAGGAGAGACAGGACTGCAGAGAAAACAGGGAGCAGGAGAGATGAGGACTGCAGAGAAAACAGGGAGCAGGAGAGATGAGGACTGCAGAGAGAACTAAGGGGCAGGAGAGACGAGGACTGCAGAGAGAACTAAGAGGCAGGAGAGACGAGGACTGCAGAGAGAACTAAGGGGCAGGAGAGACGAGGACTGCAGAGAGAACTAAGGGGCAGGAGAGACGAGGACTGCAGAGAGGACTAAGGGGCAGGAGAGACGAGGACTGCAGAGAGGACTAAGGGGCAGGAGAGATGAGGACTGCAGAGAGGGACTAAGGGGCAGGAGAGATGAGGACTGCAGAGAGGACTAAGGGGCAGGAGAGACGAGGACTGCAGAGAGGACTAAGAGGGCAGGAGAGATGAGGACTGCAGAGAGGACTAAGGGGCAGGAGAGACGAGGACTGCAGAGAGACTAAGGGGCAGGAGAGACGAGGACTGCAGAGAGGACTAAGGGGCAGGAGAGATGAGGACTGCAGAGAGGACTAAGGGGCAGGAGAGACGAGGACTGCAGAGAGAACTAAGGGGCAGGAGAGATGAGGACTGCAGAGAGAACTAAGGGGCAGGAGAGATGAGGACTGCAGAGAGGACTAAGGGGCAGGAGAGACGAGGACTGCAGAGAGAACTAAGGGGCAGGAGAGATGAGGACTGCAGAGAGAACTAAGGGGCAGGAGAGACGAGGACTGCAAAGAGAACTAAGGGGCAGGAGAGATGAGGACTGCACAAGAACTAAGGGGCAGGAGAGACGAGGACTGCAGAGAGGACTAAGGGGCAGGAGAGACGAGGACTGCAGAAAAAACAGGGAGCAGGAGAGACGAGGACTGCAGTAAAAACAGGGAGCAGGAGAGATGAGGACTGCAGAGAGAACTAAGGGGCAGGAGAGACGAGGACTGCAGAGAGACTAAGGGGCAGGAGAGATGAGGACTGCAGAGAGAACTAAGGGGCAGGAGAGACGAGGACTGCAGAGAGGACTAAGAGGCAGGAGAGATGAGGACTGCAGAGAGACTAAGGGGCAGGAGAGATGAGGACTGCAGAAGGACTAAGGGGCAGGAGAGATGAGGACTGCAGAGAGGACTAAGGGGCAGGAGAGACGAGGACTGCAGAGAAAACTAAGGGGCAGGAGAGACGAGGACTGCAGAAAGGACTAAGGGAGCAGGAGAGATGAGGACTGCAGAGAGGACTAAGGGGCAGGAGAGATGAGGACTGCAGAGAGAACTAAGGGGCAGGAGAGACGAGGACTGCAGAGAGGACTAAGAGGCAGGAGAGACGAGGACTGCAGAGAGGACTAAGGGGCAGGAGAGATGAGGACTGCAGAAAGGACTAAGGGGCAGGAGAGATGAGGACTGCAGAGAGGACTAAGGGGCAGGAGAGACGAGGACTGCAGAAAGGACTAAGGGGCAGGAGAGATGAGGACTGCAGAGAGGACTAAGGGGCAGGAGAGATGAGGACTGCACAAAGAACTAAGGGGCAGGAGAGACGAGGACTGCAGAGAGGACTAAGGGGCAGGAGAGACGAGGACTGCAGAAAGGAACTAAGGGGCAGGAGAGACGAGGACTGCAGAAAAACTAAGGGGCAGGAGAGATGAGGACTGCAGAGAGAGACTAAGGGGCAGGAGAGATGAGGACTGCAGAAAGGACTAAGGGGCAGGAGAGATGAGGACTGCAGAGAGGACTAAGGGGCAGGAGAGACGAGGACTGCAGAAAGGACTAAGGGGCAGGAGAGATGAGGACTGCAGAGAGAACTAAGGGGCAGGAGAGATGAGGACTGCAGAGAGAACTAAGGGGCAGGAGAGATGAGGACTGCAGAAAAACTAAGGGGCAGGAGAGATGAGGACTGCAGAGAGAACTAAGGGGCAGGAGAGATGAGGACTGCAGAGAGAACTAAGGGGCAGGAGAGATGAGGACTGCAGAGAGGACTAAGGGGCAGGAGAGATGAGGACTGCAGAGAGAGGACTAAGGGGCAGGAGAGACGAGGACTGCAGAGAGAACTAAGGGGCAGGAGAGATGAGGACTGCAGAGAGAACTAAGGGGCAGGAGAGACGAGGACTGCAGAGAGAACTAAGGGGCAGGAGAGACGAGGACTGCAGAGAGGACTAAGGGGCAGGAGAGATGAGGACTGCAGAGAGAACTAAGGGGCAGGAGAGATGAGGACTGCAGAGAGGACTAAGGGGCAGGAGAGACGAGGACTGCAGAGAGAACTAAGGGGCAGGAGAGACGAGGACTGCAGAGAGAACTAAGGGGCAGGAGAGACGAGGACTGCAGAGAGGACTAAGGGGCAGGAGAGACGAGGACTGCAGAGAGAACTAAGGGGCAGGAGAGACGAGGACTGCAGAGAGAACTAAGGGGCAGGAGAGACGAGGACTGCAGAGAGGACTAAGGGGCAGGACAAGGGCTGTGCAGAAAACCAGGATAGAAGAGACAAGGGCTGAAAAGAGAACCAGGGACAGAAGAGACAAGAGCTGTGCAGAGAACCAGGGACAGAAGAGACAAGGGCTGAAAAGAGAACCAGGGACAGAAGAGACAAGAGCTGTGCAGAGAACCAGGGACAGAAGAGACAAGGACTGTGCAGAGAACCAGGGACAGAAGAGACAAGGGCTGAAAAACGAACCAGGGACAGAAGAGACAAGAGCTGTGCAGAGAACCAGGGACAGAAGAGACAAGGGCTGAAAGAGAACCAGGGACAGAAGAGACAAGAGCTGAAAAGAGAACCAGGGACAGAAGAGACAAAGGGCTGAAAAGAGAACCAGGGACAGAAGAGACAAGGGCTGTGCAGAGAACCAGGGACAGAAGAGACAAGAACTGTGCAGAGAACCAGGGACAGAAGAGACAAGGACTGTGCAGAGAACCCGGGACAGAAGAGACAAGGGCTGAAAAGAGAACCCGGGGCTGTGCAGAGAACCAGGGACAGAAGAGACAAGGGCTGTGCAGAGAACCCAGGACAGAGACAAGGGCTGAAAAGAGAACCAGGGACAGAAGGACAAGGGCTGAAAAAGGAACCAGGGACAGAAGAGACAAGGGCTGAAAAAGGAACCAGGGACAGAAGAGACAAGGGCTGAAAAAGGAACCAGGGACAGAACAAGGGCTGGACAGAGAGACAAGGGCTGAAAAAGGAACCAGGGACAGAAGAGACAAGGGCTGAAAAAGGAACCCGGGACAGAAGAGACAAGGGCTGAAAAGAGAACCAGGGACAGAAGAGAGAAGGGCTGAAAAGAGAACCAGGGGCAGAAGAGACAAGGGCTGAAAAAGGAACCAGGGACAGAAGAGACAAGGGCTGAAAAGAGAACCAGGGACAGAAGAGAGAAGGGCTGAAAAGAGAACCAGGGGCAGAAGAGACAAGGACTGAAAAAGGAACCAGGGACAGAAGAGACAAGGGCTGTGCAGAGAACCCCGGGACAGAAGACAAGGGCTGAAAAGAGAACCCGGGACAGAGACAAGGGCTGAAAAGAGAACCTGGGACAGAAGAGAGAAGGGCTGAAAAGAGAACCCGGGACAGAAGAGACAAGGGCTGTGCAG